ATAAGTTCCGAGCCTTGTGCATTTGTGGGACCCGTCTCACGAGTGCACGGCGTCTGTCGCGTCTCGAAATTGGGTTTTGGGGCGTGACAGTATGGCAAAAGGTGCAGATCACTTGTTTGTTGGACAGAGGTAGGTGAAAAGAGCATTTTAGGCCTAGAGTTGGTACAACAGTTTTTTAAGAATGTGCAATTGATTAGGGAATGCCTCCGTGCTACACAAAGTAGGCAGAAAAGTTATGCGGATAGAAGGAGGCGTGACCTTGAGTTTGAAGTTACTGATCATGTATTTTTGCAGGTGTCATCCATTTGAGGTGTTCTTAGGTTTGTTTGGCATTCGGGGGAAGTAAAGTCCAAGGTATATTAGACCGTATCTTATCTTGAAAAGGGTTGGCGAAGTAGCTTATAGATTGGAATTGCATGGGAATTTAGTGTGTGTTCATGATGTGTTTCATGTGTTCTTACTTCAGAAATATGTTCCCAACCCAAGCCACATCATCAATCCTGAACCCATTCAACTTTGAGAAGAACTAACTTATGATGAGCACCCGATTCGTATTTTAGATTTCAAGGAGAGAACAATGCGGAGAAGGACTATTGGTTTTGTTAAGGTTCTTTGGGATAACCATTCAGTTGAGGAAGCCATTTAGGAGTTGGAATCCAAAATGAGGCTGGAACATCCACACCTTTTCCAAGATGAAGGTACAAGTTTAGGGGACTAAACTCCTTTTTAAGAGAGGTGGATGTAATACCCCAAATAATAATAATAATAATAATAACAAAGATTTCTTAAAACTTAAAATTTAGTTGGAGACTTATGTGGGATAAATCATTATTGTTGGGCTCATGACAAAACTTACAAACTTGAGGGGGTTAAAAGAGGAAGTTGGGTCTTTAAAAGGAGGCTAGGGCTGATTTTCACATTTTTCTCTTATCCCTTTCATGTTTCCCTGTAGACTCGCAACCCCCACCAGCCTCTCACCTTGGTAAGCCCTAGCTTGTGCCTAGTGCCTCCTCATTGAAAAATCAGGTGAGATTTAGTTCTTCTTCTTCTTCCCAAGTTTGAGTTAGGGATTTGTAGGCTTATGACTCTAAAACCATGATCAATCTAGATCTTGATGCTATTGCCTTCTCCCCAATTCTTGGTTCGTGTTGGGTAACTAGAGCGGCATAGGAGGTTGCCATTCTTAGCATCTTCCGGTAAGAAAAACAATCATAATTCATCCTTAAATCTTTGATTTCAACCTTAGTTTTGCTGATCTATGTAGTATGTTGTTCGAAATTCCTTCCTAAAATCTACATGAGGGTTTCAATTTTTGTAGCCATTTAGCCCTAGTTTGTTGGTATGGTGCTAAATTTTCTACACTGTTCTTACTATTGCCATGCCTTGTTTTTGCACAAGTTTTGTTGTTAACTGCTTTTACTTCATTGTGGTTGTAAATTCTGCACTGGGTATAGGGTTTCTGCTTTGCTAATTTTGTGATGTTTGCCTCAATCCTAACTTGTTTTCCTTTTGAAAAATTATAAGTTTATGTTGTTTAAAAGAGTACATTGTTGCCCTGCTTTTAAGCTAAAAAAAAAAAAAATCAATTTTGGTTCTTGTGATTTTGAGAAAAATCATGCTCCTAAAGAGCTTAGCTTAGCCCAAAATTTTATTTAATTAGTTGTTGTTTTCTACTTTGTTCGCCCAAAATTTTGGGTGCTTTTTGGCTATTGATAATGCCTAGAAAATTTTGCTATTTTACTGCTATTTTGTTGCTATTTTGCCCATAAATTGCTACTGTTTTTACCCAAAAAATTTTGCTATTTTGCTGTTGTTTTACTACTGTTTTGCCTATAAAATTACTGTTGTTTTTACCCAGAAAATTTTATTATTTTGTTGTTGTTTTGCCCATAAATTGCTACTATTTTTACCTAGAAATTCTACTATTTTGTTGCTATTTTACTACTATTTTGCCTAGAAGTAATTACTATTGCGTGTGACTTTTGGTGATGTTTTAAACATACTCTAGGTATGGTTAAATATATTAATATGTTAATAAGAGTTTAATGGGTAGAAACACTAAGGATGTATAGGACGAAATTGTTTCTTTGGATAGAAACTTGATATTGGTATTAGAAGCCAATTTAGCTAAATGGGGTATTTTGTAATCTTGTTTATTCTTTGATGTGGCATAGATTCTAAGTCACGTTCCTCTCCTTGAAACCTTGAAATTCTTGCTTGTTGCATAGCTACAAGATGAGGTAAGTAAAAGTATGGTAATGCCCTTGGATTTTAAGATAAAGGTTTTTAAAAGCATATTTCGAATGGTTTTTTGAGACGATAAAAGGACTAAATGCATTTTACACAAACACGAGCATGATTGGTTTGAAATAAAATTATTATCATTTTTATTGAGTTAAGCATGCCTACTTGGAGTTTGCTTGACTGCCCTAATGATCTAGAAGTCAATTGTAAATTATGATTTTCTTGTTAACTCTTGCTTGGGTTTGTCTGCAATATGGTCATGCTTTATTGTGCCCGCTAGTGGGAGGTTTATAAATGCTAACACATGTCGATATGTTAATTGTGGAACTAGTTCATGTTATACTTGTTATGCTGCTTGTGGGATTATACACTAGCAGTTTCTATGCCCACCAATGGGAGGTTTTTAAACGTTGGCCATGACTTATAGAGGAGATCTATTTCATTCCCATACTTATACCGGTTTTATCTTGATACTTGATTACATTGTTGGTATGCTTTAACTTTAAATAAGGATTACCCATCTTTTACTTACTAAGATATCTCATGATTTTTCCTTGTCCACCATTTCAAGTAGTGAGACTCGAAATGGAGGGAACCAAGGGGAGTGACGACTTAGGAAGCTAGTCTCTTGTCTTTTGGAGTTAGGCAGCTAAACAAACAAAAAAATTTTGGACCATAGAGCATTCTTTTGTAGACTAGATTTCCCCTTGGAGATAGTAATGGCTATACTGATGGACTTGTATAAGTTTTTGTATACTCTTGGCCTAGAAAAGCTTTGGTTTTTGAAAGTCAAATTTTATTTTAAGATATTGATCTTAGTTATGGATTGCTAGTGGTGAATTAAACAAGTTTGAGCATTGTGCATTTGTGAGATTCTTTCATGAGTGTACACCGTCTGTTTCACTCCTGGTTCTGAGGCATAACAAATATAATAATATAGTTTATGTTTTCATATGGTTAAAATATGAAATAAAGTTTAAATTTAAAACATATAGATGGTTTACATAAATATAATTTTAAATCCAATTGTTAGTTTGATAAAATTTAAATTTTTTAAAAAATTATATATAATTAAGAAAAAAGTCTATGTCAGTCCCGACTCCTAAAAATAATTAAAGTCCCAACCTTAAACTACATCATTTTATTTAATTAAAACTCAATTTAAAAATTTTAAAAAATTATCTTATTAAATGTTGATATATTAGAATATATAATGGGTTTCCAAAATTTAGATATCAATATTTAATAAAATAAAATTTTAATTTTTAGATGTAAGTTGAAACTCCAATTGTTTTTAGAAATTGAGATTGGTACGCACCAACATCTATAATTAATGTAAAAAGTTAAATAAGTTACATAAATGTAATCAAATGTTAACTATTTTCAAATTGTTTTTATCTAGATAAAATTATCATGTCTTAAGAATTGGTCACAAAGAGAGAAATATTCCCTTTACCTATATTTTAAATATTTTCTTAATATATTTGATTGTCTTCTATAGTTCAAATTACACAAAAAACAAATTTTCTAATAAATAAATATTTTTATACTATATTTAACAGTTTTCAAAAGCTTAGGGGGAGCAAATGAAAAAATGAATCTATTGGAAGTGCCTTGATTATTCTCTAACGATATCCTAGTAGCCTAGTTCCGCTAGGCATTTTTATGTTAATGTTAGTGATTGTTTAGCTTGTTTAAGTGCGTGGATAGTTTTTATTGTCTCTCACCCGAAATAATGGTTGATTTTCAATTTCGTTTTAAATTAAAATTTTGGGCATAATTTATTTATATAATTTTAAAAAATAAATAAAGGATAAATTTAGACTTTTTGTGATAAAATATGATTACTTAAATTAAATGGACAATAATAGGATTAAAATAAAAAATATTTATTTAATTAAAAAATAAAAAAATAAAAATTAATTTAAAATAAAATTAAAGTAAAAAATAATTATTATTTTAAAATAAAAAACATGTTATTATTATTAATTTGAATTATTAAGTGGAAGATAATCATCTTCTATTTTTTTAATCATAATAACTCAAATTCAAAATTTCTTAATTTAACAAGAAAGAGATTACAATAAGCCGCTTATGTCATTGGAAAGTATGGATGGTATTGTGATCCTTACAATTTCGATTTTATCATCAAGGACGATTGATATTCAAGGAAAATTAAAGGAAAAAAAAAAAAAAACATAAGACTCAAATACTCTTTTTATTTCTTGCATAACAAATACTTTTTAATTTTATCTTTATATTAAAAATTTAGAAATAATTTTTATTTTTATTGACATTACCTTTAAAAAAAATAAAAATACTAAGACTTAAATTATGATAGGATAAATAGATGAACTCAAGAGATAATAATAAAATTAAAATAAAAAATATTTATTTTTTTAAATAATAAAATAATAATAATTATTTTAAGATAAAAGAGTAATAAAATAAACAAGAATTGACTCGAACCTTTGACTTAAATACTTGTGTTTCCACCGAAGCCTCTAAAGTAAGACTTTATTACCAGCTCTATCACAATTTTTGACTTTGAATTTGTTTTAATTTATTTGTCAGTTTTTTAATTTTTAAGATAGATAAATACTTTTTTTTACTTTAATTTTATTGTTATTTATTTATTCTAATTAATCATTTAATTAAAGAAAATATTTAGTTTTATTATCTTTTATTTCTTTTTAAAAAATATTATAGATAAATATAAATACTATTCTCAAATATTTAATTTTAAAAAACAAAAATTGACATTTATTTTAGGAGGGAGGGATATCATAAATATGGCCTGGATAACCAAAAAAAACAAATATTTTTCTACAATAATAAGAAATGTGCATACATATTAATTATTTTTATTTAAGGAACATAACTTCGTCACTCATAATCTAAAACAACGAAGTATTACTAATATTTTTCTATTTATTTTAAATATGATATACATACTAGACTTGCCCTTGTCAAATAAACTTAGCTAACACTGTCTTGACCAAATAGCTTGCCACAACGTAATTTGTTTTCTCTGTTGGATGGAAGGAGTCCCAAAACACATACTTGCTAGCATCAGTACAAGTAAAGGGATTCTCGCGATTGCATGCATATCCCATTTCAAACAAACCAGTTGCGCAACATGCCACTTCTGTCACGTCGATTCCTGCCAATTAATATACCTAAATTAAAACCTTAATTGACCAATTCCATCTTAGCAAATAGAGGTTATTATTGTTGTTAAAAAAAATATTATGCAATTTAAACTATATAATTGAAATTATTAGATGATAAGTTGATTCTTTGATATTGTAAAATATTCCTCATTTAATAATAGTTCATGTTTTGCGATCACTCTTCTTCTTCTTCTTCTTCTTTTTTATTATTATTGTTATTATTATTATTACTTCTTACTACTACTTATATTCACTCTCATTTCTCTATCTATATATTAATTAATAAATTATTTGTTATTATTCTTTCTTTCCTTATCCTCTCACTATGATATTTTTTTTTAATCACTCTCTTATTATTGTTTAGATGTTTGATAAAATGAACACCAAAACATTTTTAGGTTTCTCGTGGTTCTTTCTTTATTTTGAGTTCTTTGTATGTGTTCTTACTTCTGACAATTACATTGAGGTCATTTGTTTAAAACTCATTTTATATTTTTCAAATTAGTCTTTCAAATTGATATATTCATTATCTAATTAAAATAGATCAATTGTATATTGTAATTTGTAACTATTCATAATTATGGATATTTTAGTAATCATAATTTAGAAAAACATATATTGAAAATTATTTGTATGTTAAGAAATACATTTATCCAACAATAATGGAGTAAATAAAAATCAATTTCCAAAGTCTAACTATAAGTATAATATAACGTGTAACTACATTAAACACATTATTTTTTTTAGTATTTACAGCCATGTCATTGCGCCAACTTTCATTTACTTGCACCCCCCACATTGGTTTGTGCATTCAAGAAAATTAATTTTCTGAAGTGTTGACTTGAAAACTTAACCCCAAACTAGGCATATAAAATGACACTTATTTATCAGTTGAACCAATCCTTGGGGTTACTAAACACATTATATAATAAAGTAGAAGTTAGATTATACATTTGGGCAAGTTGTTTTCAACTTTAATAATGTAGATGTAAAAGTCAGATTATTATATGATAATTGAAATGGAATTTGAAAACAATTGTTAAGAAATTTGATATAATTAAAGTATTATTAAGCATTTCTAGAAAATTAATCAAATAAGGAATCACTTGTATTGTATTCACTAAGAAATTTAAAAGGATATTAATTCATTTTTGAGGCTTCAACTTTTTCAATAAATATATTTTAAGAGAGGTTCATTTGGTATTTATTTAATATTTTAAAATCATTTTGAAAACCTATTAGGTATTTATTCAATATTTATTTAAGATTTTAACAAATTTCGTAATATATTATTGAATTTGAATTATCATTATATAGCTAAAATTGTCAAATCAATTTAGAATTGAAGTTGACGAATAAATTGAATTAAAGTATAGAAAGAAAAGTTATTGGGTTCACTTTTTTCTCTAAATTAATTTATGGAATCAAATTAGGATCTTGATAATTAAAATTATAATTATTTATTAAAAGTTTTAAAAGGTTAATTGCGTATTTATTTGATATTTGAAAAAAAATTTAATAAAATATTAAATATTTATTCAAATTTATTAAAAATTTTAATAATATTTTTTTTTTATCTTGGTTGCACAATGAAAGGTAATCATCTTCCATCCCTTATATCACTTCACTTGCATGTCATGCGACTTGAACTCAAAACCTCTTACTTCTAGTGGAAAGAAATAACCACTAAGCTACTTAAATCGTTGACAAAAAAAATTTAATAATTTAAAAAAACATGATACAGTAAAATATTATTTTTCCATCGACCTTGCTGGTAGTAACTTATTGTATTATTGATGAGCGATGATGACGACGAGGTAGAGATGGAAAAGCGTGTGTTTATATATATATATATGCACTCGCCAACGACCTAAATAGGTCGGTAGTCATCTTCTTCCGTTTGAAGTAAGAGGATCTGACTCGATCTGACTTCGAGT